AGCGGTTCTTGATCTTGCAAATTTTACACCGTTTCCTGATGAATGGACAGTGGAAGATAAAGTTTTGTTTGAACAAGCTTTTCAATTTCATGGAAAAAGTTTTCACCGAATTCGTCAGATGGTAAAATTATAAATCTTAAAATATTTAAATCATTTCATCAAGAAACTAATTTTAAAAAGTTTTAATTAGCTTCCAGATAAATCTATTGCTAGTCTTGTCAAATATTACTATAGTTGGAAAAAAACTAGAACCAAAACATCATTAATGGATAGACAAGCAAGAAAATTGACTAGTGGTGGAAAAGAAGGAGAAAATGGAAGTGAAAATGGAAGTGAATTGGGTTCTAATACAGACAGTGAATCTGAAGAAAAAGTAAGATAATCGATTATATAAGTACTTAAAGTAGTACATACAAATGATAGACATATCTTTATTTCTATTTTACTTAATATATTATCTACATCATCTATCATTGTTTAATCATATGCACCATTTTAGAATCATTCTCAGTAATGTGTAACATAAACATTTAAAAAATTAGTGGTATTTCATAATATGTATAGCATATCTAAAATCTATTGATAGATAAACATTTTTAATATTTTAAAAAATTAATAGGAACATATATTTTATGGGATTTTTTATATAATTATTTTCAAATGATATTTTTGTATAAATCTTATATTTTGTAGGTTAATTTATTTTAGCTAACCATAAAGTTTATTGCTAAAAAATAGGATTACTGTAAATGTATCCACACGGTATGGATTTAATGAGAATATTAGTTAAATTATAAATTATTTATAAAGATTAAAGTAGTCCAAACTATAATAATCTATATACATGTACCAAGATGTACAATAGGAAATAATGAAAAAATATTGGTATCATAAATGGTATTTTAAAAAGTATTATTCTAGAATCAATAATATTTTTGTAAATTGTGTTCATAAATATTTTAGAGCTAAAATATAGAAATTAAATTAATAAAAGTATTTTATCTTATAGTTAAAAAGTTGTATCTTAAAAAATGAAGTACATATTATATTAAATCATAATATGTCAAGCTTCTAAATTGAAACTAAATAAAATTTTAACTAATTAATAAATAATAAATATATCAAACATACTTATCCAATATTTTGCTTTAATATTTAATGTTTACTAAACATCAAACATTTTAAAATTTCATTCCTGAATAACTCGTTCATTGTTTCACGATTAATTCATCCATACTAGATCTCAA